AAGTTTAATGTTTGAAAACAGTGCAGATCTGGGCTGATTCTTGGCTAGGGAGCACAATAATTCTTGCATCATTCATATGCTTAGGTCAGTATCTGGTGCAGGACCAAAGTACCAAAACCTCTCCACCATCCTGCAGTTTTCCTGAATGATGGATTATCCCTGGCAGGACAAAGTGCTAGATGTGCCTGCAGGAATAAAGGTGGAGTAGAAAAACCAGGGAAGAGGCAATCCTGTGGGCACAAGTGTTTTGTGTGGTGCTGGAGATCAGATGTGGCCAAGGATAACCAGGGTGTAAACACATGGATGCATTCACTGTTAATTGCAGGCAGAATCACTGAGAGGGAGGGTTTCAGTTTTTAAAAGGGTTAAGAATAACATGAGACAGAGCAGCAGCCATTACATCAATGAAGAAAAAGTGTTTTTTGATGTGTTTGTCACCTGTGTGGGAAGAGGTGACTTCCCCAGCACTGATTGCACACAGTGTCTCGCTACAATTTCTATAGAAATGCTAAGAAGGAGCTTGTTTGCATTGAAGCTGCATATCTTGGTTTGAAGAGGGTTTTGAAGAGTATTTTGCTCCACAGTTGTGTCACTTATATGTATCTGGGTGTGTCATTTCTGTCATAATTGTGGGCAGTGTACTCATACCCATTTTTGACAGGTTTATGTGGGAGCTGGCGCACAGCAGGGCCTGTGTGGAAAGGCAAAGCATTGACAGTGTTTAGGAATAACAGCCTAAAAAGAGGAGAATACTGGTTCAGTTGTGGCTCTGTGGGGTTTTGAGGAGTGATTGGCATGAGCCTGGAGAAGGAGAGGGAATGATGCCACAGAATTCCTGCCTGGGGCTCTGCGGGGTGCAGACGAGATCTGAGGTTTTCGTGCAGATCCCACACAGCTCCTGGTGTTTCTCTGCTCATCAAAGGGATTTCTCTCCTCCCCTCTTTCTTATTTCCAGAAAAAAACCCACATTATATTCCAGTGTTTATCCCTGTAAATTCAACGTCTGGGTTTATTTTCATTTCTTTCCCTGCACTGGGAAGGTGGCTAAAGGCTCTCTGTGCTGTGGCCTCAGCTGAAAAATCCCTGAAATCTGAATTCTTCATTAAAGATTCACACTGAAGAGTTAATCAGCTTCAGCCAGACTATTTTTAGAGTTGCAGCCTTCCATGCCAGCTGAGTAATTGCTATTATGTGATTACTTATGGTTTTGCCAGTTGAAACAGTTTTTTGGAAAACTGCTGCTTCATAAAGTAAAATCAAATTGTCCAAAAAGGTTGTGGAACATCCATCCTTGAAAATGCTCAGAACTTGACTGGACATGGCCCTGAGCAACCTAAACCCTCTGTGAAAGTTGGACTAGCTGACCCCTGGATTTATCTTCCAACCAACCTGATTCTGTGAAGGAAAACTGAAATCTCAGTCTTTGAGGTGACAGGAATAAACAAAGATACATTTAGCACAAAGAAGTTAATGCCTTTGACTTCTCTCTAAGGATCTCCAAGAAAGTTCATAATGAATGAAGCTTCTCCCCCCTTTTCCCATCAGTAAAAGACAATTAAGAAGAGACTTGATTATGATCAGTGATAAGGTGAGATTAATCTGGTGCTAAAGGACATTAAGATGCTCTGTTTGTGTCATGGTGCACATTAACCTGGAATAAATCTGTCTCAACCCTGCATTTCCCATGTCCATGGTGTTGGAGGGAAAGGTGAATTTCCTTGCAAACCTCATTTTTCCGAGTGGAATGAAAAATCACCCAGCTAATTGTGGAGAATGCAGTCTCTGCCAGGCATGCATGATGCAATCAGAATGCAACACTATCAAACGTAGTCTTTAATAGCCCATTATCTCAGTGCTTCTGAATCAGGGCCAATACAGGTTTGTGGGGTTCACCTGGAACCAGGTATATCCCAGTTCACCTGGGATCAGCGGATATTCTGAGGCAGCTTGGCAGGGGGATGAGAGGGAGGCTAAGCCTCAACAATCCTTGGTTTTCTGGCTAAGATCCTCTGTGGGGGAAAACAAACAATTCAGGATGCTGGGAGGGTAATCTATCCCAGAAACAGGTGAGGTGTGAGGGTTCTTGGGTTTGGGAAAGGCACAAACACCTATTTGTGTGTGCAGAGCAGTGCGGTAGGAAAGCCAGAGGATCCAGACAATTCCAGGAAGCCAGAGGAAGGAGGGGCTGCTACCAGCAGTGATTGTTTCATTTAGTAATTAGTGCTTAAATCTCCTCGAAGTCAAATAAAGCAGAGGATGTGAGCTTGTGGAGCCATTCACTCCTCCCCTTCCCCACACTTCCTCACCCTTTTTTTTTGCAGATATTCATGGATGTGGGGGCTTTGCTGATGGTGTAGAGCAGGTGTTTGGGGGTAAAGAGTGGGGTATTTTTCATGCTCTGTCTCTGATGTGACCTTGGCTGAGCTGCTCCTTGTGTTCTTTTGCCTTCCTTCCACCTGGTGGTTGCATTTGAAGGATGAATTAAAGGATGTTTCATGCATGGAGATTTTTCTGGAGTGCAGTAAAGAGTGAGATGTTACAAGTCTGTGAATATTGAAGAAAAATCTCTAAATTGTTGGAGTGCTGGGCTCTCCCTTTCCAAGGGGCAGAGGTGTGGAGGTGGGAGCTGGGCAGGCAGACCTGCAGTGACCTGGAAATGTCAGCTTTGTTCCCTGAGTGGTACCTCTGTGGCCAGGTGTTTGTTTGCTCTCCTCTCCCTGACCCAGGGAGTCCCAGCCCAAGTTAAACATGAGCTTCTGTGTGCTGGAACTGGGGCTCTGAGCCTTCCAACCTTCCCCAGGTACAGGGCTGCCAACAGCCAGGACATGACCTGGGAAACAAATACCCCTTTTCTGAAAGAGGATAAACATCCCCTTTTCTGTGCCTTGCTATCAGATGGTCTTTGGTCGTATTTTCAAACAGTGAGTCCATTAACAATCAGTTTGAGAGCTCTGGTGATTTCTCTCCAGAGTGGGCGACATCCAATGCCAATATTCTTCACCTCAGGAAGAGGTTTCTGGAAGAAATCACAATTTTTTCCTTCCATGCTGTTTTGGGTTGGGTCCAGGTTGTGAACTTAGATCTCCACCCTGATTTCCAGCTGCTGTGTATTAATTCCAAATATTTTGTATGTTCCCAAAGCAGGCAGCAGCACGTGCCTCCCTCTGCCCTCCCTTCGAAATCCACGCAGACAAACAGCATCTCGTTTTTGCAAAGTTGGCCTCAGACTGAAGCAAATGGCTGCAACCATTCAAATCCCTCCTTTTTGCCTTCTGTCTCTTTGCTGGGGATGGAAAGGAGCCGCCTCTTTACTACAAATAATGATTTGTAAAACGGTGATATTTGCCACGAGTGGCTGCTGCCCTCTTTGATGTTCTTGGCACTGCCGGTCGCTACCCAAAGCAAGCTGGGAATTATAGTCTGCCATTCTCTTGCCTCATAGCTCAGGGCTATATTTAGTACTTTCAAGTTGCAACAGATCTGGAAGTTGTTCCCTTCAGCTGCAGCAAAGGCTGGAGCTGGGCTGGGTTTGTCCTGGTGAGTCCAGGGAGCTCCTTCTCCATCACAAGGGCGGCTGAACCGGTCAGTGCAGAACTGCAGGGAGCTCCTCACTGGGTCAGGTTCAGGCAGTCCCCCAAGCTTTTTCTCTGCACAGAACACCACATTCAGTGCAGGTTTTAATGCCTGTTTTTTGCCTGAATCCTAAAGCTGGGTGCAGAAATTCTGTGTGTGATTTTTGCTGGGCAAAAATTCCACATATGATTCTTGCTTGGTGCAGGAATTCTCGCCTAGGGTTTCTGGGATGCCCTAAGTGTCATTTCCTGCAGATCGTGCCCTTTCAAATGTGAAGATAAAATTATTGCAGCATCTTTCTCTGCTGATCCAGCAGCTAGCGCTCTGCTGAGTGAGTGTTCCCTGCAGGACTCGGTGGAACACAAAAGATAATGCCTGGATTCCAGTCTGTCCATTGGGGCTGGAGATCCCGGAGAGTGTTGAAATCCCGGGTTTGCAGCTCCAGAATTACAGGTTTGAGAGCTTCATTGAATTGTAAAAGGTTTTTAAAGCCCTGAGTATCTGCTTTTAATGGAGTTTGCTCTTAATTGTCTCCTTGGAGTCTGAGGATGAATGACTAAAACCAATAATGGAATCATATGATCTGATTCCTGCTGCCAAAGGATGAAGGGAGGGCAGATGTTTTAGGAATTAAGTGAATATTTTGCAACGTTTTTCTTTCCAATAATAGAAAAAAAAGGGATGAAGATTGCCTAATATTGGCTTGCCAGCCATTAACAATGCAAATAAGTGTGGAGAAAAAAAAAGGAGGTCCTCATTCCTTAAAATACGTGGGAATGCAGGCATTAGTGGAGTTATTTGTTTGTAATTTTTCAAAAGCTGTCCGTTTGCTCTCTTCCCCCTCCTTACCAGTCCCCCCTCAAAATGGCACTGTTTTATACTCAGTGAGTTGCTTTGTGGTTATTGTGGTTTTTCTTCACACAGCAACAGGACAAAAACATAAAGGAAAATATGCTTATGGATCCACACATTTTGGTGGAGTTGGAGGAGACTTCAGGCTTCAGACTGTCAAAACCAAATTTGTGCCTGTTATGCTGTGAATTTGAGGCCAGGAAGCTGTTTCTGTTACAAGTATGAAATCTCTGACACAAAGACTGCACAGGGGAGATTTTAGTCCCTATCAGACCTTTAAAGGCACTGGGGAGACTCCAAAATGGGAAAATGTTTGAAATTACTTTTGTGCCTCCCACTTCAGGGCGGATGTCTGGAAAGTTGTTTTTCTACCCTTTGTTTTGATTTGTTTCCTCTATTCTCACAGTCACATATTCTTTAAACACACAGTACCTGCTGATACCAACATTTTAATGAAAAAATTGTATTTTTCCTTGACAATTTGATTGACAAATGATTCCTGTTCATTCTGATCTGATGTGATTTTAAATTCCTGATTTTCTTCCTGTTGTTGTTTTTTTTTGTTTGTTTTCTAGAGTGGTGAAGGAAGAGATCTCAGATGACAATGCAAAGCTCCCTTGCTTCAATGGAAGAGTGGTGTCCTGGGTATGTTGGATTTTGTGTGTGTAAATCTGTGTTGTTTGATACTTGATGCTGATTTCTAGAAGTATCTTGAATCTCAAAATTAAAACAAATGTATAAATTATAATTACCCTGTTCTTAAGTAATGTATTTTAAAATCAGAGTGAATTCCAGAAAGTGTGCTGAGCTGAAAAAGTGGTTTTAACATGAAAACAGCTTTAGTACTTTAACTAAATAGCCAAAACAATTTATTCCAAAACAGCTAAATGTGATCTTCTGGTGGGTTTTGGTTATAGTATTTAAATTTCAGTGTATTGGTATTGTTGGTAGTGCCTGGAAGCTTTAAATGAGGTTAAAATCTCGGGGCTAAAAACATTTGTATACATTTAGGAAAAAGACATCAACATTTATAGGCTTGGAAAAATAAATTTAATATAAAAATGAAGGAATTTGGGCTGTAAAGTTGCAGAGGGAGTCAGTGATCCAGATGTGACTGTACTGCTCTGCACATCCCATCTCCCTCAGTCTTGTCTGGGTTTAATGCGCTAATTTCTCCGATACGCCAGGATTTGTTTGTCACCTAACTGGAGTAATTAATTACCAGCTCCTAATTATTCTCATTTATTGGGGTAGTGTGTGCTGAGCTGAGGCCAAGCTGGTGCTGTCACTTCTTCAGCCTTGTTCTGTTCCACTTAATGGAGATGCAAGAAAAGTCTCCAGCTGTGAAATACAGGAATTCCCACCTTCAGATGATGTTTGGGGTGCAGATTAAATAAATTGGATAAATCTGGTAGTTCATGCACACTTTTCTCTGTCTGGGGACTGGAATTTTGTGCCTATCAAGGGTGATTTAAGTGGTTGAGCACTTTCAGGCAGAGAATAGTGCAGTGGTGTTTTAGATTTTAGCACCAAAAGAACATTTGAGACGTAGTCCGTGATTTCAATCTCCTCTTTGAAGCTGAGTTTAACAATCCTAGGAACACAGCAGAGGACAAGGATGTTGTTATCCAAAATCTCAAGTTTGTCATGAGTATAAAAAGTATTTTTGTGAAGAGCTTGGATTCAGCAAGTGCTGCAAATGGGGTTGGAAACAGTGCGTGCCAGGGGGTGAGAACTGTGCTGAATGGAGACTTGGGCAGCTTTTCAGCATGGAATAAATGCCTGCATCCTTGTTTGGATCCTGTTTTTGGTGGGAGGAAGGTACACAAGGAAGTAGTAAAGTAGGTTTATAGGAGTTTTTTCCAGCTGCACTGTTGGAATAAACTTGGAATTCTCAGGTGGAATGAGCAGCTCTGTCTCCATCTCTTTCTCCATTCCTGTGCTGATTTTAGGAGTTGAAGATCTTGCTCACATTTCTTACAACTTCAAGTATTTGAACTATTATATCCCTTAAAATATTTTAGTAAGCCCAGACAGTGAAGGTATGCAGGATAAGGACATTTGCTGCCCGCTGAGTAGCTTGAACTTTTTCAGCCTGGCTTCTTGTAGGCAGGATTACATCAAAATAACATAAAAAATCAAATACAGAATTGACTGCATGCTGTTTCCTGCATGTGTGCACTCCAGCATTGAGCAAGGAAAAGTGCAATGTGTGTCTTTTCAACCTGACTTGGATTGGGGGATGCTTCTTAAGCAATGATTCCTCGTGGATCAGCAGGCACAGCCCCTGCTGGGCTCCGAGCAGCTGGAAATGCTGCTCTGGACTGGCAGCTGAACTCAGCTCAGCTGGATCACACAGTATCAGCGACTTCTTCCTGCTCTATTGATTGCTTTTCATTTTAGGGCACTCAGACTCTGGCAGCTGGGTAGTCCCAACAGGTTTTTAGTGTTAGGCAAACAGAACACGTGGCTTTGTAAAGCTGAGCTTAAACTCAGTTCTCCCACACACATCTAAATGTGTATTAAGCACTTACTAGATTTTGTATTAAATTTAGGTCTTAAAAATTGGGATTTTCAGTCTGTGCTGTCCAAAGGTAGCTGTTTGTTCCTGGGAGTTCTGTTCAGAAGCAAAAGTTACTTTTTCCCTATTTTTTTAGGACCTCCATACCTGTTTTTTTTACCTTTGTGTTCCAGCTTTTTGCTTCAGCAGCAGTAGCTGACTAATAACCAACATGACTTCCAGAGCTCTCCCAAGAACTCAGCCATGCATTTCCACACAGCAAGCACCAAAACGCCTTGGTTTGGGAATGGAGGAGTGTTTTAAAGCAGAGTTCTTTAGATTTAAAGCTGCATTTCTGGTCTAATTCAAATCTAAAGCTGGGCAGTACTCAGGGAAAGGAATGAGCACCACTTGCCTCCAGGAAAAAGGGAAGATTCCCTGGATGAGTAAATCAGTTGTCAAAGGAATAAAACCATTGGTATTGGAGAATCAAACTGATGTTTAAACAGAGAAGTGTTTGAGAGCTGAGTCCATCTGGAGACAGCACAAAGTCCTTTCTTAATGAAGCTGTGTCTGTTCTTACGTGGGAAGTGCATGTGGGATGGGGATTGCTCCTCCAGGAGGAACATCCATCCCAGTGTCCACTAAGGTGGGATCAGCCCCTGGATGCTCTGCAGGGTTGGGATTTGGCTGAAGGGCTCAGTGCTGCTGAGTTTGCTGCTCTCAGGATGCCCCTGAGCTCTGGATGTTGGTGGTGCTGTTTTTGTCTTCAATCCAAGGATTACTGGGGGGCTGGAGCGTGGGGCTCTGGCAGGGTGGGAATGGATGGGACAAAAAGGGATTTCATGTGTGATTAATGAGCGGAAGAGAGTGTCCCAAAAGCTGTAGATAAAATAGGGGGGAAAGTGGAGATGGGTTTTGTGCTGCCATGGCCTGAGAGCAGCGTCTGTTAGAGGAGCAGAGGGGTGGGAATTGATGTCAGCTCCTGTCAGGAGAGCAAATTCATCTTGAGCACTCCTTTCCTTCTGTGCAGCTGCTGCCCTGTGTTTGCTCCTCAGTGTCACACCTCCCTTCTCCTGCTCCTTTCTCGCATGCTGCTGAACTGATAAATATTAATTAAATACTCAGTTAATTCAATATCCCAGTTGTCCTCTGCATCCCTGACCTGGGTCTCTTCTTCCTAGTGTGTGCAGGAGGATAGGGCTGTTGGTTTTTATTTTTGTGGTCCAGTTAAATTTATCTTTTACTTGGGGAATTCAATGTATTGATGATGTATTCTGATTTCTAGACACCATTCAGGCTCTCAAAATATGGCTCAGGTTGTTCCAGCAAGGTGTTCTTGGAGTTTAAGGAAAAATCCACCCCCAATCCCAAACTATTCCACATGAATAAGGATGTGGATTATTTAATTCTCCTTCACATCCCAATTCCTCAACCTCTTCCTTCTTCCCTCTCCCAACCAATCCCCCAAGGGCATTTTATCTCATGTTAAGAGCTGAATTCTTTGCCAGCTCCTTCAGTAATATGAAACATGATAATATATGGCTTTTCCAGCTGGAAAACAGGAGACTATGAAGAAATAAGATCAGAACAAGACTATATATATCTGCACACACACCATTTAAATGTTATATTTTAATTCTGGGCCTGCTACTATTTTCATTTCAGAGGAACATCACAGTCTTTGAGATGCATTTCAAGAATTGATTCCGTTTATTGTGATTCCTCTATAAGTGTAAGTTGCTGGCTGCTTTCCAGATGAAGAAGAAGGCAGAATCCGTGTTTGAAACTTTCTATTTTTTTGCATTCCACTTTTGCTTGGAGGCTACAAAATCAGTGTCTGCTCTCCTTTTTCTTCCTGACCATGGTGGGAGACAGTTGTTGATCCAGAGATCTTATTTTTCATTTACTCAAAGAAAATTTTATTTTTATTTATAAAAATTTTATTTATTTTTATTTTATTTATTTTTTAATTTTATTTTTCTTTGTCACAGTCAGTTGGTTTTCCCACATTAGGGGTGGAAACACAGGTTTGTAATGGATTTTTTTTAAAATTTCCTGTCAAGTGGAAAGTGATGGTTAAGGGACAGGAGCACCTGGCAAACAAGGAGATGTTGAGATGAGCCAGACCCTCCTCCAGTGACAAGAGACAACAGGAATGAATGGAAACAAAGGAAATTCCCTTCAAACATTAAAAAAAAAAAACACATTTTTTTTAACTCTGAGGGTGGTGAAGCTCACCCAGAGATGTGCAGTCATTTTTCTTAGGGATAAACCTGGCTGAAGAAGGAACTGTGGTGATAAGGAGCAGTGGGGTCAAACTGAAAGGGGAAATTTAGGTCAGATTTATAAAGAAGTTCTTCTCTGTGAGGATGGCAAGGCCCTGGGATGGAATTCCTAGAGAAGCTGTGGCTGCCCCTGGATCACTGGAAATGTCCAAGGCCAGGTTGGAGCACCCTGGGACAGTGGAAGGAGTCTCTGCCCACAGAACTGGATGGTCTCTTCCAACCCAAAGCATTCTATGGTCTGATCCAGACACCAAGGTTTTACCACAGAACTGTTGCTCATCTTAAAGTTCTTCAAGGAAATTATTGTAGGACAAGAGGGAATGGCTTCAAGATGAAGGAAGGCAGAGTTAGATCAGGGATTGGAAAGGAATTCGTGTCTGTGAGGGTGAGGAAATCCTGGGATGGAATTCCCAGAGAAGCTGCCCCTGGATCACTGGAAGTGTCCAAGGCCAGGCTGGAGCACCCTGTGACAATGGAAGGTCCCTGCCCATGGAACTGGGTGAGCTTTAAGATCCCTTCCAACCCAAACCATTCTGGCATTCTTTATTTCCAATCCCTCAGCACTTGCTGGTGCAGCTTTGAGCAATTCCAGAGGTCTCTTGCAAAGTAAATTATTCTTTGAGGGCATTCACTGTTTTTCCTGCAGCTTTGCTGGTGCTTCCATCAGCCTTTTTCATGATGAGGCTCAGGCAGTTCCTCATCTACCTTTAACAGAAAATAAAAAGACAAATCTGGCTTTCCACAATCCCTCCTTCATTTCTCATGGCTTTTCTTCAGGAGAAGAACGGGTTCAGTTTGCCTTTCTTCCTTTGGTTAGATAACATTTATCTGATACATGATATGGATGATAAATGCTA